AGCTTGGTGCGTCTTCAAACCAATACAGATCTAAGCAAGTGACAACTAACCTTGCTCAGTTTGAGGGATTTGATTGGACAGGATGCTGCTTAGTGTGGTGTTGGACCAGACGCCATCCTGCTGCGCCAGGACTGCGAGCAGGCAAAGCTGTGTGCTCCCACTTTCTTGCAAAAGGCTGTGTGCCAACTGCAACAGAAGACAAATACATATGCAGTAACTAAATTACTAAAATGTCAGTGAGTCATACTTAAAATGTTACACAGTCAGGAGTCTGAAATAATTGTTACAGCAGAGTTACTGAAGTGAATTTGTGTCAGCATCACAGAAGTCACATCATTCTTGTAAAGAGAACCCACAGACCCCGACATTTCAACCCATTTGTTTTTGTTACATCAATGCTGAGAAAAACCAAGTGCATTCTAATTACTAAACAACATCTCATTGCTTATCACTGCAAAGATAACCCTCAGAAAAAAAGTGCACCAACAGCCCTGGGGATACTGACCTTCATGGAGGACTGAAACTCCTCCCATAAGGCACCAGGGACATGGTGGGGCAGTAAGAGCAGCAGCTCTGCACAGCTCCTGTGAATCCAACACAGTCGTTTGTTAAAGCCAGATTTAGGTCAAGGATGTGCACACACTCCACAAATTAAGGGTAAGCATATAAGAATAAACTATTCACAAACTGTCAAGCGGTAAAAGTCAGAGTGGCATTTCGGAAATGTAACAGAGTGGTGGGGGTTACAAATCAGCAGCAGCAGGAGTGAGACACTAACATCCATCAGTGTAAGTGTGGGTTTCTTATTAAATAGTCACTGTTGTAGTTATGTTGGTATTAATGAAAAACAACAATAATTATAATGCTCAGAATGACCAAAATATATAATTGTATAATTGATGATTAATTAACTTACATCCTTGAATTTAATAATTGTCATTTCTCTCCCTTCATTTTGTGTACATGCTGTGCCTCCATGTGCAAATTTTACTCTGTAGCTCATCCCAAATATGTCGAAGCTCCCCAAGAGGTAGCCTACATTTCTATTCTGTATTGCAGCCTCAAGGTCTTTGACTTCATCTGAGCAAATTGTGCAAATAGCTGAATAGGTCTTGTAGACTGTTTGCAGAGTATTTACAAACTTTTCATATCTAAATTCCCTTTGGGATTTGGGGGTCTTTTGTTTTATGCTTATTGTCAAATATTGTCCATCTTTAATTCAATATCTAAATAGATTACAGTCTGTCTTTGGAAAGTCTCTGCCCAAAGACAAAACTATGCCAGTGGAACTGCAAAGCAAACAAAATGTTATGTCTAATGTTACGTGCACATCCAAATTCGTGTAACCTATTCAGTTTCACATTAAACGCTAAGACCTGAATGCTAAAACTTAATGCAGATACTTTTTCCAAGATACCAACTGAGCATTATGTTTGTGTAATTAATGTATAACACATATTACAGAAAAGCTCTTAGGAGAAATGGTGTTTGAAAGAATAAAAAAATACAGGCATAGAAGAACTTTTGTTTCTGTTGACATGCACGTCAGACTTTCTACTCACAGTGCTAACTTTTCAAGTAGGAGTGGCACGTTTTCACATTCGGAGGAGAGACAGGAAGCGGCCTTAGCAAAGCTGAGGATGGCCACAGTGTAAACCTCCAGCAAAGGCAGTGGATCCTCATCAGTTTTCCAACGGCCGGCATGTTCCACAAGGACCTGGAAAAACATTAAAATATTACAATGAGAAATGCGGATTCTGCACATCTTATAACAAAAAACTACTCTGCAAAAATAAAAATCTATGTTTTTAAAAACACGGGTGTATAAATCATGAATAGATTTGCCTGAATAATGTGGTTTATCAATTAATAATTTGAGTCAATCTAGAAATAATGCAGAACAATCTACATTTCCAGCTTCTTAAAAGTGAGATTTGCTGTTTTTCTCTGTTTTATGTAATTGTAAATTTAATTTCTTTGAGTTCTTGGGTGACTGGACAAATAAAACAACCAATTTGGAGATGTCGCCTTTGACTCTGAGTAAATCTGGTTGGCATTTTTCACCATTTTCTGACACTTTAATCTAAAAAAAAATATCAGATTAATCAATACTGAAAATAATAATTTGATATTTTGATTAATTTTTAACTGCTTTTTTTCCCTTATTATAGATTTATTTATACTTTTCCATAGCTCTGTGGTCAACAGGTCAAATAAATTTTGACTTCATCAGTAAAAGAACCAATGCAGGCATCATAATCATGACAGCGTCAAAAATCAAAGCTATTCAGTGAGGGAAAGAAAAGATTTAATTCCTCTGTGCTACGACTGAGGACAAACTGTAATGGCAACTTTCGATGAATGGAAAACTTTTAGATTTGTGGTTATCTTTTATTTCAAGAAGCCACAGCTAACTTTTAGATGAAGACAAAATGTCATACTTTCACAAACTATCTTAAAAAATAGGTTTTGATGAATATTTACAATGTTATTACATCCTGATTATATAAGTTGTACAGCACTTAAAACAACAAAGCACCAAAGTTATGTGTGCTTCTGCAAAAAAAAAGCACTTTTTTTCCTCCCCCTCTTTTTTTTCCATCACTCAGCTAGAGTAACGCCTAACCTGCATCAATGAAAAGTCCCTCCATTTCTTCCACACACAGCACTCATACAGATCAATTTCATCCTGAATCACCGTTATTCCTGCAACTGTTGTGCTCGTTTGAGATAATTCTCCACCATGACTTCACTGCACAAAGCTACAGCTCAGTCCGAGGCTCGTCCCCTTTTTCTCAAATAACTTTAAGCTGAATGAATTCCTCGCTGCCTCGTAGCGTGGTATAGAAACAAACCTATAATCTCACACTAATGTGGTGCAATGGCAGTAATCTGTGCTGCATCGCAGGTAAATGGAGACCTCGCATGATATTTACGTGGTCAGGGCAAATTAATGAGGAGGATGTGTAATGGAGTCAGTGACCACTGCCACACTTTCCCTTTTAAATCACTGAGCCTCACTCAGCCAGCTGCAGGCACATCGGTCGCTATAACACTGACATCAATTTCACATCTTTTTTTTTTTTTGGTGCTAGCTATATGTTTATAATGAACACCTCCCCTAGTGTGGTTAGCTGGATTAATTAGTGCAAAAGGCCTGGGCTAGCACCTTGAAAAAAATCATTGATCTTTCGGTACAATAAAGCAGCTTTCACAAAAGTAACCAATTTTTACACCAAGCTAAAACCTAAACAAGCATGGAGATGCACAGTTATAGCGTTTGAATGATATTTCCTACAGCGAGTACAATCATGTAATTTAGTGCATTTCAATGCAATCGCCCAGTAAAATCTCGCTAACGTAGCTACCCATTTTTTGCACAGCATGACCACTGCACAGGACAGGGGGACCCTGCATACCAGCTAGCAACATTCATCTGCTGTTAGCTATCTGGCCTGGAAAATACGAGTAATACATGCACAGTGCGCATACATTGGTGTGACTTCTCGCCACATGGATAGTTAGACTTTGCAAATAAGTACATGACACGGACAAACATCATTGAGAGAGCAGCTGAAAACCACGGAGGAGTTTTTTTTCCCCATCTTGAAATGCCAGGCAGCTAGCTAGGCAGCTAGCCCCTTAGCTACATTGTTGTAGCAAACGTAGACGCGCATCCTCGGCCAGGAAGCCAGAGGGGCTGCAGGCTGCCCGGGATGAGCAGCAGGAGAACGGGCTAACCTGGCAAAACTCCTGGCAGAAATGCAATGAAGCTTCCAACGGAGACTGCGAACTCTCCTTCAAAGCTGTGGTCAGACCCTGGAACCGCTCTCGGAGCTCTTCGATAGCTTTCCGTGTGTCATATTCCTTCTCTGTCTCCCCCTCCGCCATCTTCACAACAATCACGACCGCGTACGCACAGATGTTACGCTGCCAGACTCGCACACGCACGCGCACGCAGAGGGGGTGGGTGGGGGGGATGGGAGAGCACACAGTGTGCTCCACATACCCCCACGCACCCCCCCCCCCCCCATCCACCCTGATGTCAACAAAGCATCCATGACCTTACAGTGCCACAAAATCACACTCCACACAGGCTGGATGTGATACATTTGCTAACCAGGTAATCTCAGGATGACTGGGTGTCTGGGTTCCCCTGACCACCCCAGTGCTGCACAGTCCATGCCATGATGCTGCAGGGTAAGCTGTGACCTCCAGACAGTGAGCATCATCACATGAACCTCAGCGGGCACCAGAGTCTATTCTATTTCCACGAATGTTCACATGGCAAAATGTTCACTGTCTTTCTTGTCCCTTCAGGGTGGTCGGAGTGCGGGGTCATCTTCACGACAGCCCTGATTCAGTGTGACTTGCTCACTGACACTTCAGCAGGGCAGATGTTCACAAAGAGGGGCCAGTCATCTGAAAAACCCCGGGCCTGAGCTAAAAGGCAACATGTAACTCAGCATGTTGCTCGGTAAGTGAAGCAAATGTGTTATATTTGTGTTTCTGAAATATTGACTGGCATATGTCCTGTATATGATGTGTGCCACAGTATATGATGCTAAATTACTTCCCTTCTCCACATATGCACATCAAACACAAAAGCTAGAAATCCACGTTTCATTTCAGAATCATTTAAATTTCCGGAGCTGTTCAGGAGCTTTCAATCATATCACTAATTTTTTTTGCTTAGTTATGAAATTGCAGATGTTCATATCTCCATTTTTTTGTGAGCAATTTATAGACTTTTTCATCCATATTGGCTTCAATCTGAATTAGTTGTTATTAATTAATTTCTTGACATATATTTTGGTTCCCAATTCCAAAAGGTCTATTTTCACTTTCTTGTTGTTAGTGTTGTTGTTAACAACTCACAAGAAATGATTTGCACACTCCAGAAACGGCTCTCAATGCATACTCACCCCAACACACACACACACATACACACACACACACACACACACAATAATGCATGGATTTTAATGTAAGAATGAAAATGCAATATATATGCATATTTTAATTGCTTTTCAATCTACAGTTAATCATACACAAAATAAGCTAATTACACATCACAGACACAGAATTTCTACAAAAAATATTATCTGCCAACTCAAGAACATACATATTAAAACAGAGAAGAGCTTGTGCATATTAAAAGCAACACAACTTGTTGCCACGCTGAGCGCTGCAGAATGGTTTCCAGTTCTCATCGGTCATATCTTGTGAAAATAGCAGGTGCTGCAGTGGCAGTCTGTGTGGTTTTTCACTATTATGCCGGCCACCTCTGTCTGAAAGAGCAACACATGAGGAGGAAGAAGTGAATACTAACAGTTTGTCACATCAGTCTGCTGCAGCATGTATGTGTATGATGAGATGCTGTGTTTAGCAGCATGAGGGGTCGAAGCGTTTGCACTTCTTAACATATTTTAACAGAAACCAGAGTTGAAACAAACTGCAAACTAAATTAAAACCAAACTTCATTGTGACCTACAGTGGTGGAGGAAAAGAACAGATGTTTTTTTTTAAATGTAAAATCTTAATTTGAAAAGTAACTAACTACAGCTGTCGGATTAAAGCAGTGAAGTAAAAACAGTATATTTTCCTCTGGATTTTGGTGGAGTAAAATTTTATAGTACTAGGTTACTTTCCACCACTGCTGGCCTAACTTCAACATATTCACTGACATATCATAAAACTAAACTGAACATAAGTCAAAACCTGAGAACTATAGATGTATAAAAATTAAAATTAGCCAGTTAATTAAAAACTTTAACAACTATATTAAAGGTTATTTACAAAATGAAAATTTCATCTGCAGATCATGGGAGCGAATGATTTGTGATGTTTGTGCCATTTTTCCTTCATTGATAGCAATATTATTGATAGACAAGAAACACTGGCCAGATTTAAACCAGGGTTGTGGCAATTACAGGATACACATATGCTGCTTTACCATTAGGTGACCACGAGAGTCTCTGCAAGACTCAATTTCCATCTACTGTAACCTATTAGTAAATAGGCACAAAGTTTAATGAGTGTTTTTGGTGTTTTTTGCACCTGTACCTTGTAGCTGTGCTTTGCCACACAGCACGTTGCCTCGGACGTGATGTTCTTTGGGTTGTTCATAGTCTTCATGGCCTTGAGGGGTGTCGGGTACGCTCTGGAGAAGCAGCAGCCCATGCACTGGTAGACGTTGGGGAAAAGACTGTTCTTTCTCAGCGTGCATTCCTCACAGCCCACTGGAGAAAGATGATAGTGGTTTCACAAGCAAAATCATAAGCTATGAGTCATGGACAGTTTACGACATTCATTAACATTTGAGACATGAGATGAAACTCACAGTGTAGAGTCGTGGAGAATAGAGATCATTACAGGCAGATTGTGCTAATTTATTGATTTATAATACCAGTATTAACAATGGGATGCCTCAATCATAAATGATAAGATTCGTTTGAGAGAGGCAAATATTATAAATCAATCTTACTGTTTGATGAGTCAATGTTGGGGTAAGAATCAGCTATGTAAAGACAAAAAGACAACAGAAGGAGAGACAGTCCAGCTGTTTTCACTGAGCCCATTGTGGTTGCAGCAGTTACCTAGAGACAAAAGAAGTTGAAAATCTATTGAATCAAAACTTTATCAATGAGTAAATCATAGATCAAGATTATTAGAGTATTACCATGTTGAGAGAAAGTGTCCCCTTCATTGTGCCTCCGTACAGGACCCCTTTATATCGCGGACTTCTGCTTCAGTCCATCTCATTTTATACCAGTGTTCCCGGGCAACTTCCTGGATTAGGTGAAAACCTACCGACCTTATCAGTGATCTCACTGACTCACTGGCCTCTTTGCTACCTTCTTCATAATCCCTTCATAGCACAAAAATGATAAGAACAAACCGTGGAAAGTCAAAACATACTTCCACCATCCTTCCATCCTGACTATGGATGATACATGTAATCCCCGGGTTTTTGTTACTTGGTAACTGAGGGTTGTTATTAATTGTCATGTCACAGCACGGGAGGGGTCATTAGTTTAGGATTTTCTTGGTCATTTTGGTTAACTGCAGTTTGAACATTTGTACAGGCAGCATGTGAGTTGAGTTATGTTCCTGAATTAAGAAAAGCATAAACATTTTAAAAGTGTAAAGCAGAAATATCACTTTTTAAAGTTATGTCATCACTCTATGGAGTCTTAGCCACATTGAAACAGTTCATGCATCCACTTGTCTATTCAGTCTTCCAAAAAATAGCATGCTACATTTTTAAATAATTTAAATGTTTTTCTAACATTCAACAAAGAGGACAAGGTTTTATATCTTTCTCCTTGGGGATTAGATCTGTATTTTCCTTCCCTTTTCAAACATACATTCATTACAACCAAAACATTCTGCGAAATCTAATAAAATAGGTGAAAATTAAATTTTCATTGACGTCCTCAGTTGTGAAGGTTCTCATCTTCCAATACACTGAGTGGCTGCTTCCTGGAAAAATTAATAAAATAAACAACATGAGAGCGTCCTTGAGTTAAATTTAACTTAATACAAAAAAAAACAAACCCTGACATCAAATCTTTTTAATCTGTTTATCATATATCATTGTACATTGAATATATTTGGGTTTTGGACTAAAACAAGATATCTGAAGATGTCACCTGGGATTCTGAGAAGGTTTGATGTACATTATGTCACTAGTTTTTGATATTTCATTCTCTAAATGAAAGTGATAAAATAATCTGCAGATTAAATGATAATAGAAGTAATCACCATGTGCTGCCTTACATTGCTCTGTACATGCAGTTTAATGTTGGATACTGTACATATATTAATGCAATTACTGTCTTAACATGCATATTGGTTCCCAGTATCAGACTATTTTTGGGGTGTGTAGTCTTTTTATCCTCAATTTTATATTAAATATTGAGGCAAAACTCATTGTTTCAGTGCAGTGGCACCTTAAAAACTACAGGATGGATGATTGGAGGAAGCTGTGTATAAATGGAAGGATACTTAAAAGCTGTGAAGGAGTATCCATCTGTCCGCCTCTAGCATCTGAAATGTCAAGGATGAATATGAATTTATTTTGTATTTCATCTGTGTGTTTACTTATGTTCCCATGTCCTGCGTCCTTGGTTGTGCTGGTGATAAATCCTTGGCCTAAGACTCGTAATTCAATAAGTGTGGAGGACGACATGTTAAATCACAGAGATGTCAAGAGGTTGTTTCTTTTCCTCGGCTTATGTCATAGCATTTGTATCACTTTTCCCAAAATTATAACTTTGTCTTAAAACAATAAGTGGTACTAATTTAATTCCTGCTGATTATTATTGCTCTGGCTGTATGCCACATGTCATTTTATTGCAACTGAATAAAATGTTCTGTCAATCAAATGTAATGGTCACACTCTTATTTGAGCACATATGCATGTTTATGCTTAATGAAAAATACATTTTTGAGCATAAAATATAATCTCAAACACCAGCTGATAAAAATGAGTTACAATCAAATCTCTAAAGATCACAGCTTTTTAAAATCTTATCATACTTTTTTTTCTCGGTTTCTCACACAATACAAAACTAAAATAATGGCTTGAAATCATCCTGAATGGAGTGCTGGTGTGCATTAAGGTGACAGCAGTTCAGCCTCTTGAACATAAAACAAAACGTGTTTCTGTGTTTTTTAAGTTATGCAGGTACATCAGCAAGGCCAGATGTTCAGATTCATAAGTAGTGGAGGCAGACTTGCGATGTATTCTCTTGATGCTGCCTGTTTCCTAGGCTCTCTCCTTGTATTGATCTGACAGGGTGAGGATAAGCACCACAGGGATGTTAAGCCCCAGGTGTAGAGCAAATGCTGTGGTGGTCATGCTCAATGAAACACAAGTCCGATATATTCTCAGGGGCTCTGGTGTCAAAACAGTCACTGTTGCTGCAGAGGATAGAGCCAGGGAGACATAGTGAGGTTAGCAGGTCATGTGTATAGTCAGCCGGGCTCTGCACAACTCAAAGCCAAGGTGCTCTCTATGGCATCACTGAGAAGGCCACAGACAAGTCAGTGACACCTGAGAGCAAATGAAGTAGTTAGCTGAGATTTGTAATTTTCTTGCTTGTGAAGCTAATGGCTCTAATAATCACTGAAGCAGTAAAGAGAATGATGATTGAAAATGAGTATGAAACCCATCAAGTCCAGGCTCATTCCCAGCTCAATACAGCAAAACTGAAGGCTGGCCCACAACACTGGCTGAGACAAAGCAGCACATGGAAGTCACATCACACGGGTGGTTTTCCTTATTGTTGGTAAAAATGAGCACAGGATTTCATTTCCCTGAGAAAGTGTATGTTTTGCAACAAACTAACCAGAAGCAATGTGTGCTTGCCTCCCAAATTTTAAAATGTCACATTTTGGCCCCAGTGTAACAATTCCATACTTCACCAGTTTATCAGTTATACTGCTATGGTCATCTGTATTGAAGGAACCCAACTCCGGTATAACATAACCAACTAAAATAAAACAAAAGGACCAGAGTTGATCACAGTCAAATGTCGTTGCCAAACATTGAAATCCTTAAATTATATTTATCTTATTTACTGCAAATACAAAGATTTTCCATCAGCATCAATATAACGGGATATGCAGTGTAACAATTTAGCAGATTTGTCATCATGCAAACAGACATACATTTATCCTCTTGTATCTTAGGCATAGGCTATAAGACTGGAGCATTTCAAAAAGTAATACACAAGACTGAAAGTGGAGAACAGAGGTTCTGCTAAAGCGTTCAGGAGCCATTTGATTGATAAGGACACACAGAGACACTCTCTCCACATGGTGGCATGAGAGATCTGTAATGTAGTAATAATTACGGCCTTCAATAGTATGATCTGGAGCCACAAAATGTTGGCTTTGCTGGTCATCAACGCTCTTTCACATATAACACCAACAAAAAAAACATTCACTGTCAAACCATAAAGCATTGATGTTTTCATAAGCATGCATATCTAAGATGGTAAACATTAAGGAAATAAAAAAAAGCAAACAAACAACAAAAAGCAAAGACCTACCACTATATCAGTTTCATATGGAATACTATATTTAGTCTGGGTTAAAGAGGTAATTTGATGTCAATAAACACAATGTTCACTTCTCATACTCAACATTTTCTTGGTTACCAATTAAAACCTAAATGCCTTTCCACCTGAGGGGCTACATAATCATTATCCCTTGAAATAAGGTTTTTGGCACAATGAACAGTGCTATTGTCATTAGATCCATTTTGTTCTTATTTATATCTAAGAAACTGTACCTCTGTGAATATAATGCTGACTTTACAAACTGGACCTTTAGTTGACTTTTCTGGCAAAATAAGGTTTCCTCCAGACAGAATTTTGGCTTATACCCAAACCCCTGCAGAGGACCTCTTTTACAGTTTTGGAACCTACTGTCTATTAGTTTTAGAGCTGAATGCAAAAGTATTTACTTTTAAAACATATTTCTTACAAAAGAATATCTGCCTGTTTATGGTATTTTCTCTGAAGAGTCCTTAGAGGCATGAGTAGTAAACGTCTTGTTGTCCCATAAATCCAGAATAGACATTATTATGAATTCCACCTGTAGGGCTGAAATTTGAAAGTATTTGATTTATTCTCTTCTCAAGATTTCTCTCTGTAATAATTTACTGCCCTGTTACATTTTTAAAATAGTTCTGTTTTAAATGTAACTGTGTTTATAAAGTAAGTTACCTGTTTTTGTGAAACACCTTGCAACACAACATATTTATTGATTGAGAAAATGTGCCAAACTCCAGAGGAAATCATTCTGTAGCTCTGTTCTTCAACACCTGTGTAAGTTATTCCTCAAGCTCTTCCAGCCATCATCATCCAGCTGTTAATGCTCTATAACTGCAGGGGTTGTTGGAGTCACTTACCTGTTAAAGTTTTATTACTTCAGCCATGAGCCAAACTTGAAGCCCATGATTCACTCTAGTTGTGATGAAAATAGCAGATAACCCAATCCCAGTCTCATATACTGCATTGTATTGTCATAGCAAAGTAACTATATGGCAAATAATTGTCAAGGATCAACACCGTATGCATGCATGTTGATGGTCCAAATATGTGAACCCAGAAATTAAAATTTAAAAAGATACCATCAAGTTGAGTTTTTACAACTGACAACCTATCATAATGACAACAAATAACATTGTACACAATGTTATTGATAGAAAGTCATGCAACAAACAGCTATGTTCACAATGTTATTTGCAAGAGTATTTTAATATAGATTTTCTGCAACACACACAAGCATAAAAAAAAATCAGATCCAATTTGTATTACATGCATGATGAGAAATCTAACTGTTCTTTCTTCATAATGCTGCAGAGAATCTTTTACAAAATCTTTTTTTTAATTGTTATGTACTTTTGCACAACATAAATAAAAAAGCTCTTCAGTAATGTAAACCCTTGATCCCCATCTATATGTTGAACTGAGCAGATGATCATTTTCAATACAAACACACATAAGCTTGACATATTCTTTTGTTCATGTAGCAGATGAACGTGTGAAATCCATGAGAAGAGTGACACGGTGTGGTGAAAAATGGGACCTACCTCACTACCCCCAGTCAAGCAGTCTGCTTCTGTATACTGTACACATTTATACAGTACAAGTGCTGGCCTCATAACGTCCAACATATGCAGAAATAAATTTA